CATACTCATCATCATTTTCCTTTTAGACAGTAAAGGGAAGATTAATGATATATGCAAATGTTTCAATAGTTCCTTTGTTTTCGTTGTCACTTTGTTTCTATTCTCTCATTACTCTACTGGCTGCTATAAAGGAGAAAGGCTGATTATAGTTTGCATTTCGGTTAAGAAATCAGGTTTTATTTCTCTCTAAAAAAAAACTTCATCCAGAGTTGTGTTCAAAAATTAAAAAACTACGGATATTACCTTAATGCTCGGAAGGGCAGAAATCAAGTAATTTGGTCATAAATATTCAAACACTGAAAAAAAATTTGGATTTTTTCCTCGCTGTGTGTTATTTTTTCATTGATAGTATATCGAGCGAAAAATAACGTCTGTTTACTCGTAAACTTTCAATCGTGTCTACGCGGGCTTTGATAGTAGAAAACACTTTAGTCATTGTTGCTATAGAACAGATAACCCCTTTATTTGAATTTTTTTTCGTTAAGGTTTTTTCGGAAAATATTGTTTTGCTCCTGTTTTTTAGTTCACGCAACAAAGAAGAACTTCAATATAGTTTCCTTGAAAAGGGCTATACTCGATGTTAAGATTTCAGATTTACACAAACTTTTGGACAAATCATACTGAAAGCTTACCCAGCCACCCTGACTTCTAATCCAAACTGCCAAATGATCCAGTACATATAGCCGCACACAGTTTAACACTGTTTTAACCAGCTCGGGTCGTCCCTGGTGTATACAGTCCGCACTTACAGCCGCAGCGAATGCAAACAACGCGATGATTCTTCCCCATGTGACTCCCTCTCGAAAAAGTTCGCGGCCAAAGTTGCGGAAAATATCACCAACGATCACCTCGCTTCGGAGCTTCACCTTAAGCTGTTTAGAGACGTTGTTGTACAGATGGGGGTAGCAAGTCTCCAGTAGCTCGCCAACTTCGATTATTTTTGCAGAGATGGAGGTAATTTTTTCGGACACGGCTTGAGGACGGACAAATTCAAGATCAGACTCGATATTTGAGCGTTTCAATCGTTCCTCGATGTAATCAAGACAGTACAAATTTGCATCGTTCGCTATCGAGACGTACTCCTCGTTAAGTTTGGCTTCGATAAAGGGCTTCAGCTTCTTAGTGACGGATTTAAGCATGGCTACCAAATATTATTTTTCCATGAGTATTATTCAATCCTGCTTTCTGTTGGTCGCTGATAAGACATTGAGACCGGCATAATAAAGAAAAAAGGCTCAAAGGACAGGTGGATTTTATGTGAGAAACGTGCAGGTGGCCTTATTAATGAATTAACTACATTTAAATGGCTGACCTATGCTAATCAGCATTAGCAAGCGTTGTCGTAGAAAAAACAGTTGATCCTTGGTCGCGGTGGTTTGAATTGATAACTTTCCACGGATGCGCGCGTTTCATGCTGTAGATACTAAGATACTGAGGAGCTTTAGCAACGACGACGGCGACGGCAACGAGAACGTCAAAAAAGCAATAGGTTTGTGAAGCAAAACAACAACTTTGCATGCGCCTCACACTTTTTGGTACATTGCTTTGCCCTCACTGCACGACTACGACGTGAAAATGCCTAATTTCACGTTTTATGGAGGACGCGTGCGACGAAGAATTTTTCTTTCTCTTTCTAAACTTGAGTGCCGGCGGTCCCCATAAAATCAACTCCAGGGAAATTCGCCTACATTTGACATTTTCGGCGAACTGGAATAAACGCGACAAAGTTTGAAAAAACACCAATTCGTTTTAAAAGTCACGTTGTTACGTTTTCGCTGCCCACGCCGTCGTCGATACCATGGCCTTACGAAACTAGGGAGCTCAAGCAACGACGGCGACGGCTACGAAAACGTCACTTAAACAGTGAAGTCGCGCTACTTCAAACTTTATCGCGCTTATCCCATCTCGTTCAATAAAAGACGGTATCAAAGTTAAGGAAAAGAAATAGAAAGTGGTTGTCTTGAGTTCACGTCCTCCACAAAACGTGAAATCAGGTATTTTCACGTCTTAGTCGTGCAGTGACTTCAACGGAAATGTACAAAAAAGCGTTGTGCACGTACAGAGCTGTTGTTTTGCCAATCTAAACCTTTGCTTTTTTGCCGTTCTCGTTGAAGTCGACGTAGTCGTTGCTTAAGTTTCCTACTAGGGACCTTACGAAACTACGAATTTTGAAGGACTTCTAAGGCGAGGACTTCTGGTTCAACGATTACTCTGAAATTTATATGGCATACTTATCATGTCAATAAAAAACCAATACCCGAAATTTCAGTACAAAATATCAGCAAAAATTTTTTCCTATACGCGATTTCCTTTGTACAGTAAGGTCCACTCAACGGCTAATTTCGTTAAAATGTTCCTGTTAACACCAGGAAATTCGGATTATTTGATATTGTGTGCTGAATGATATATTTCAGTTCTTAGCAAATTTTTGTAGCAAACGCTTTAAAATCAAAAGAGTTATGACTTCAACGCGCCTTTATTAACAAGCGCACCTTAAACTAGCAAGCCTTTTGAGCTTTGACGTGAGAATTGCTGATTTAATAATTAGACTTCATCATCGAAAAAGCACTCCAGCTCTCGCACGCATCTTCCACCCGCATTCTCTTAGCCTGCGTAGCTGGGGTTCAATTTCGACCTCGGATCAGCATTGGCGCTGCTCTGACCCTGACAAACGGCCAGCTACGCAAGCAACCTCGTCCCCATATTTGAAAGCGAGGAGACCCTGGGGACGAGGTTGGCTACGCAAGTTGCAACACAAACCGACCGCGTTGGCCAGGCGAAGCGCAATGCGAAACGCCGGAATTAACGCGGGGACCGTTTCACTCGGTGGCGCAACACTAGGCCCAGTCCCCTCACTGCTTCCTCGTAATCGCAGTTTTTCTGTCGCCTGTCGGCCGATGTCCGGTTTGAAAAACTCAATATTTTTGTGATGGAAGTGTGTTGGTGAAGTTTTAAAAGTGAGCTAGAGACGATGTTTCCTTAAGAGGTAATATGGTTTAAAACAGTGGAAGAAAAATAGAAACCCGCCAGTAAAGTCCAAAATGGAAAACAGCCTGGGATATTTGCATCGTCAGCCATATTTTTTGTTTGTTGAGCTGGGGGGTTTAGCTTTTAAAACTGAGAGGTTTCGTTTTCGTAAGCATATTTCGACTGAAAGCGAAAGGAGAAGCATCAAATCTCATCGCAACGGTCCGCTTATACTCTACAGACCACTAGAGTAGGCGAAATTTTAAGACTAATTCCAAGGGACTTGGAAAATGTCACGAAACAGTTTCCAGAAACCCATTGATGTAGAAATGGTTCCAGCGTCAAAAACGGAATCGCAGTCCCATCCTCTGGCAGCAACAACCCAGGTTAAGAACGAAGCAGGCGGCTTTGTGTGGAAAGTGAACGACATGGAGAGGTTAAGGCGTTTTCTTGTGCTTGGGTGCGAAGGCGGGACTTACTATACCACGGAGCAGAAACTTGGACAAGAGAACGCTCAGGCCTTGCTGAGAATTATCACCGAAGGTCGTGGACCAGAGGCGGTAAAAATTATCGTTGAATACAGCACCGATGGTCGTACAGCCAAACAAGACCCGATCATTTTGGCCTTAGCTATGTGCGCTCGTTCGAGTCACTTGGAGACGAAACGTGCAGCGTATGCTGCTGTCACGCAAGTTCTGCGAATTCCTACACATCTTTTCTCGTTCACTGAATTCTGCGAGAAGCTGAGCAAGCCAAAGTCCTCCGGCTGGGGCCGAGCACACAAGAAAGCAATCCAGAGATGGTACACAGAGAAGAAACCGCGAGCTCTAGC